CTGCCGTGTGTAAGGAAGAGCAAATTACTATTCACAAAAAACGAAATAGCAAAACTATCCTGTAATGTATAAAATAAATTATGTTCAAAATATAATTTAGCATTGCCCTTTTCATTTCTAGTAACCTAGCAGTAACAGATACAGAGGTATTGGCTAGAAATGTCAATTCTCTTCCTAGATTTGTCCTTTTAAATATCTAGGCTTAGTATATCTTTTTGTATGTCATCAGAAAGGAAAAGGTTTATGGCCTTTCACCTCTATTTCTTTCAGGAGCAGGAATCATGAGATTGCACTGGCTGACCTATTCAGCTTCCTTGCTTTTATAGCACAGGTTTTCTGGCCTATTTATGTGGCTGTGTGGTGAAAGCTGATGTTGCCTGACAGGGTAGTAATAAAGTATTTGTGATGGAGGGGTCAAACCAAGCCCATAATTCTGGGCTGTTTCCAGAATGCAGAAGCAGTTTATTTTGGCCAGATTTCTTAACTGGTGTCCTGTTACTCAAATAAAGGGCTCTGGAACTGATTAACTGCACACAAAGACTTGGTCTGTGTACGTTTTCATTACGAAAGAACTATTCGTGGTGTGTTTTTCTCCGTTACTTGCTTTCACTTGCTGTGAACAACGTGTGCACATCCAGTTTTGGTGTAAAAGTAAAAAATTCTATGGGCTTTTGTCACAGGTGTATTGCCTTTAAACTGATGCTTTCTTTTTAAATTCTCTTTCCAGTATGGTGTGCTTCTCTCCTGTATCTGTAGTAATAAACACTAAATATATGTATCTTAGAAAGCAGCTATGTCAGGCTGAGCCATCCCTTTCAGTTGAGGCTGTTGACAGAGGGAGGCAGCAGCTTGGTAGGGAGTGGTAATTTAGGATGAACAGAGCAAAATGAGCAACATCGTAAAAGTAATCAGAAAGTTTAGCTCAGAAAAAGTGTAAAATATTTCAATAGGCTTGATGTTGGGATGGAGCTATGGGAAAACCAGGGTATTACTGTTAGATCACTTTTTGTGTACTTCTCCACCCCCACCTTTTTCAGTTCCCATATTATCTGCATATTTAGAAATCTCAGGAAAAGTCTGTTGATGCCAAGTAATGGAGTAATTAGCTGGTGCAGTAAAATTGTTTCCTGTAGGACCTGATTGCTGCTTGACTATGAAATACTTGAACTCAGTCAACCTAGAACTCCTAAACCCAGTGTTTTAAAGTGAAACTTGTGGGTTTTAGTTTCTAGGTGCTTGGGTGCCAACTTTGGCTTTTTGAAATGCAGGTGCTCTGCATTTCTTGAAAACCAGACTGCTTGAACACGTACTAAATTTTGAAGTGAGAACTTATTTTTATGTCTAAAGTTAAGCTTAAATTTAAAGTGCACATTTCAGTTAATGTTACCATTTTATGTCACCACATATAGGTAATACACATTATAGATTTTCCAGCAAAATAATTTGTATGAATAAAAATGGAAGGCACATGCTTTTTAAACTACGAAACACCTCAGTGTTGGGACATTGGAGAGCACAGAGATGGTATATGTACATCTCCACGAGTGAGCTGGCCCTCCCTGCCCTATCTAAATATTTCTGTTCGCTCTTGCTGATGGCTTGAGATTTATTCAGCGCCTGCTC